TAGCTCTAGGTCTTTCTGATTTTTCAAATCTAAAAAGCGTTTAGCACTCATCGTAGGAAAAAGATAAATCAAAAACGCTCAGGGAATCTCGATACTTCCATGTAGCTTCACGAGACAAACGTTATCGGGCGCGTGTATCTAACAGATACAAAATTTCAAACAAGCTTAGAAACAGGAAATACTCCTACACCGAACTGGTCACTACTGCATTCCAAAGTAGCAGGGGGCCAGATGGACAGATACTGATAAGGTCAAGGTCGTAAGAAAATGTTTTAGGGGACAAAAGCAGAGATATTGACACACCTGTATCTGTCAGATCAACGCGCCCGATGGAGTGTTAAACATTATTTATTGATAACATAATATTATACTAACACTATATAGGGTAATTCAAAATGAATATAGCGATTACAAACAGCTATAACTATTTAATGAAAACTAAAATATCGATAAGATTGAAATAGAATGTAGGAGGAATTTCAAAATTTCTTTTAGTAATGCGCAGGCGCAGTGAAACGGAACCCTGCTCATGCGCGATTCCGCTTCAGCGAAGATTTCGTCAGCGTTACAATCAAGAACTTCCAAATGGGAACAACATACGCAGGGTATAGAGAAGCCTTCCACTGTAATTAAACTTGAACATGATTCAGCGAAAGTTAATGTGTTCTGCGCGATCTCATTACGTAAATTGTACGGTCCTTTTTTCTATGAGTGAAGTGTTACGTCAAGTGTTTATCTTGACACGCTTGAGGTATGGTTAAGGACGCAGCTAAATACTGATTCTACGGATTGCATCTTGCAGCAGGAAGGAGCCCCCTCACACTGAGGTACCTTATTTCGCACATTTTTAAATCAACATCTTCCAAACAGTTGAATCTGTCGAAGTGGAGATGCCGACGATGTCTTCTGCTCATGGCCACCGAGATCTCCGGACTTCACACACTGCGATTTCTATCTATGGGATTGTGTGAAAAACTTGATTCCTGCAGTGTATGTGCTTCCCATGCCCAAAACAATTGAAGAACTCAAAGAACGCATTTGTGCCGGTGACTGCTCAAATGCTTCAGAATGTATGGCGCGAAATGGACTACCGCCTAGATGTTGTCCGTGTGACCAAGTCACAAGAGAAGTCACATAGAAAATCTCTGACGCATGTATAGAACATTTTGAAGTTCCTTCTACACTCTTCGTAAATTTTATCGATAAATTCCTTTTCATTAAATAGTTATAGCCGTTTGTAATCGCTATATTCATTTTGAGTTATCCTGTATTACTATTACTATACAAATATTAATTATGAATTAAATTAATTATTATCATTATAAACAAAGGCTCATATTTTAATAGCCGATATTTAAAGCCGATATTTTCATATTGAGGACTAACTTTTTGAAACTTTACAGCATCAGTCAGAATTTTCTTGGGATCCAGAACTGCAAGGCTACATTTTGAGTGCAGGATACTTGGGTTACATTTTAACTCAGATACCGGGAGGAATTCTTGCTGGAAAGTACGGTTCGAAAATTCTTATTGTGGGGAGTGTTTTATTCTCATCTATATGCAATTTGCTTTCTCCAATTGCTGCAAGACAACATCCTTATGTTTTTTTAGCTGTGCAAGTAATTCGAGGAATGAGCCAGGTAAAATTTTTTCAATTTTTTTTTCTAATATGTTTAATAATATTCATTGCGCTATTTTCTATCAGTAATATTTATCACTATCAAACGGGTAGTCAGACATTCTTTTGTTCAAGTTAGCCTCTTCGAGTTCTCTCTAACGTTAAAGTCGCCGTCATGTTTACATTTATATGCACTAGCCTGTGTGCTCTTTACCAAGATAATAGGTAGGTTGGTACTTTATTTACGTCACACTAGAACGCTACACAATGTGCTATTGGCGACGGTCTGGGAAACATCCCTGAGGATGATTCGAAGACATGCGATTGCAATTTTGATCCTCCGCAGAGGTGATGACTCTGCTTTGGTAGCCCGATGACCTGAGCACGGAGTCGAGCACTTTACGGTAAAACAATTTAACGAGGACCGATACCACGCACCCTCGGTCCCTACGCAGGCTGAACAAAGTGGTCACCCACCCGCTTAATGACAGCAGCCAGTGATACTTGACTTCGGTGTTCTACCCAGAACCATGTCTTTACGATCAGTCTACTGCGGCACCACAGATGATACGTTTTAGAGTAAGATAGCGTAGAGATACATCCAGGGTTACGGCTGGATTCGAACCCGCTTCTCCCACTTTCTGAACGTTTTTGTTATGTTACCGCTCGTATTTCAATTAATCTATAGAAGTCAATAATATATTAATACTCGTATTTCAATTAATATATTAAGTCGCTACACTTCTAATATTTTTAACAGCGTCAAAAATGATAGTTAGCTTAGAGCTCGGGCAAAATAAGAGGATTTTTCATCTGAGATTCTCTGAGATGTTTTCCTCAAATTTATTTTTGATTCATAAAACTACAGAGGGTACATTAACTTTAAAATGGTACGCTACTTCAAATATTTAAGTTGCTTTGCTATGACGAAGATCTTAATGTTATTTTAATAGTGTATTTTATGCATTTTTTTATTTTATTTTTTAGGAGGGTCTTACTATTAATGTTATTTATTTTTCACGTGGTTATTTTTAAGACGGTTTCATTTCAAATTTATAAACATACTAGTTAAAAATAAATAATCTCCATTAGTTGTACGTAGCTCTCGAAAACAAATACTTAAAGTATTTCTGTTTAATAATGGTTGTTCGTAAATTTTAAAATAATATGCTTCCCTTTGCGGTGATTTTACATTATAAGATTTATTAAAACATGTTTAAGGAGGAAAGTTATTTCTTAAAAATTCATGGTTACTGAATACCATACAAAACACTAAGTTACAACATTCGAAATTTACTACAGTTATATTTTGAAAATGGTCCTAAGAATCATTTTTAGAAATTTAAGTGTGCAAAGTATTTTGAACCCTTCCCTGAGCCCTTAGTTAAATCTGAGACTTCACATAGTTAAATTTGAGACTTCTCTAAGATTTCACATAATTAAATCTGAGATTTCACATAATTAAATCTGAGATTTCACATAATTAAATCTGAGACTTCACATAGTTAAATCTGAGACTTCTCTGAGATTTCACATAATTAAATCTGAAACTTCACATAGCTAAATCTGAGACTTCTCTGAGACTTCACATAGTTAAATCTAAGATTTCTCTGAGACTTCACATAGTTAAAACTGAGACTTAACGTAATTACTTAAGTTTATAAAAAATCATTTCAAAACTTTAGAGAGACAAAACATAAAGCTATGCTACATAATTTAGTTATCACAGCGCTTTATCATTTTAACACCGAGAAAATAAGTTATTGTGAAAATTACAAGAATATGGTCAAATTTACCGTGTTCCGTTGTCTGTAAGAACACCAAAGTAATTTTAACCAAAGCACTTTGGTATTTACTTTTTTGTAAAATTAATAATAAAATATGGTTTTTATTGCACTATTTTTTATTACTGTTTGGTAGTAAGTGCGTTAAAACAAGGTTATTGGGTACTTGCAACTCGAGAAGAGGACGATCACTGATACTCAGACACGTGACCTATGACCTTAGCACCAGTTCTCTTATAAATAAGATAACGTGTTTATGTCGAGCTACGTTTCCCACATTAGTTAGAATGTTAACGAGAAGTTAATTAGATATAACACCGTATCTCACGTTGAATTTGGTCAAATACAATTCTTTATCGACTACTTCTTTTTAATTAACTTGATTTATTCTTTGTTTATGTATTTTGCTATAACCGATGTGTATTTATATTCCGTGTACCTGGCAACTTCGATACATAGTTAGTTTGTTTATATTCTATATGGCTCCATGCCTGTTTTTGTGTTAAGAAATCTATAGTGAAAGAATTGAAATCTTTGTGAAAGAATATAGAATGTGTTACTTAAGAGAACTGTTATTTGATGATATTGTCTTACTCGAAATAGAAGAGAAACAACTGTTGCTAACGTAAACAAATGCCACGTTTCAACAACCAATCAGGATTAAGATGCCCACACTACGTCACTTGCAGGTATTTTAAGCAAAGATCGGTATTTTTAACAGTGCAGTTTTAGCAGTTTGAGATGACGCAAAAGTGTTCATTTTAGTAACCTCTATTTTACTTAGCAAACATTTGCTAACTTTATTTTTTAGTTTTTTTTATGTAAGATGTTAGTTAACATCTACCAACATTTAAAATTATAAAAATTATGCATTTGTAAATGTACAAATGTCTGGATAAGGCTGAACTAAATTATTAGCTTAACAGTTAAGAAATAAATACTACATCAAGGTGAATATAATTACTGCATTAGAGCTGCATCAACATTCTAAAATGGAAGCGTAGAGGTAATGGGTTCAAATCCCCGTTATATTTATTTACTTATTGTTACTCAAAAATAGCAGGATGTGTGCTCATTACAAAGCTCAGCTAAATGTTCTTGTTAAGTTGCAATACAAATAGCATAAGATAGAGAAAGACATGCCAGCGTGGGACACGGTGGGATTCATACTCGAACCAGCTACCTCCACGTTGCAATAGATGAATCTTTAGAATGTTATTCTCTAATTTGAGTAATATTTTCTTAAACTTGATTAAGGCTTATAAATGCCGTGTTTTGTAATGAGCACACAAGTCTTCTTATGTAAGTGTAACAATAAATTAAAAATAAATAAATTCTTGAATAGTAAAGATTTTTTTCAAAATTATTTTTTTAAAGTCACGTTTTCCTCCAAACGCTATTTAGAATGGAGATAGTGGGTTCAAATCGAAGCGTAATCATGAGTGTGTAACAGTAAATAAATTAATTTGGTTTAGATTAATATACAGGACCGTGTGCTTAATACAAATGATTGCTTGGCTCTAGTCAAATTGAAAAAAAAATAGCATAAAAATGAAAAAAAAAATGCCACGAAGATATTGAACCCACAACGCTTCTGAAAGTTTGGCTGAAAGTTTGGCAGAAAGATTGGCAGAAACCACTGAAATGGAGACACCAATAACAAATCATTGTTTTACTTTAACCTTTATTCAGCTAACCGCCTTAAAACGCATATTTAGTGCTATAACATTCGATGCATAATTTTTGTAAAATTCTTTCGTAAAATTGTGCTATATATTTTTAAAACTGGAAAAAGTTTTTAAGCAGTTCTTTGTGTTAACAAAGAAACCCACATGTAGACGTAAATAAATAAATAAGGACCACTTCCTTTTAAAAAATTATTTAAGCAATCCCCATAGTATAATACAATGAGTTTAGAGTTAACCAGAACTTTTTTCTAAGTAAATGAGTAATTGTGAATGAGTAAAAGAATTTTTTCAAATTGTTCCCCTCCCCTTTTCTTAGAGTTCATAAATTAAACGTAATTCTCAGGGATTGGTAAACAACAGCGAATATAATATAAAAATATAAGAAGCAGCCCTTTAGAATATTAACGAAACAAACTGTTCCTTTGTAATAATGCTGTATCCATAAAATTGCAAATTACAACAGTTAAATCAATATAAAAAACATTTAAAGCGATATTTTTTAAATTTATTGCAGGTGAAAAGTTTTATATAAAAAGTAGAAAATAGTGACTAACGCAATAATAATGATCGCCAATCAGAAAAATCACTGAAAAGTTCATGAATACATAGAATTTAGTTAGTCAACAAGCTTTTATTTTTCTTAATATTGAGCTCAAATTTAATCATTAAAAAGTTATATTTGATAAAACTTTTGAAATATTTGCAAATTACAGATAGAAGGCATTCAATACACTTGTTATAAGCAAACGTTCATACAGATAGACGTGCTATTTTATAGAACTAGAAATGAGTAAATTCATAGACAAATCCTGATAATCCTGATTCATATTACAAATCCTGATTCCAGTTTTTCTATCAATATTTAGTAGACCTTGTATATGTCACAATCTCATTTTGTTTAAAAAATATTGCTTTGTTTTCATTAAGAAGCACGTTTAAACATACAATCAAAAGAATGAATACTTCTAGTGCATTATGCGTGTTTATACTTAAATAACAATCGGTAATAGAATTTTATTCTTGTAGATATTGCTGAATTATAAATAAACCAGAATGAATTGAGTTATAAATAATACACATTACGTATAATAATAGTTTTTAAGTTAGTAAAAATAGTTTTTTTCGTAAATGCAACTTTATTACTTTTTTACTTATTTTTTTTTTTCTTAATTTGAAAGAAATCTTACCTTTTAAATGTTTGAAGGACATCGACCTTTTCTGGCACCTAGATCCATTGAGAATATTTTTTCAAGTAAAATGCAAATTTTATCAACTTCGTCGTTTCTTGATTGCATTGTCTATATTTTAGAAAAATAGAATTCACGGCATCCACTACGCTTTCAAGTCATGAATAATACTTAATCTTTTTGAAATACAAAAATCATTGCTTTTTATCTATTCACTTATTTAAAAATATCACTACGCTGAAATATAAAGTTTCCGCACAAATGTTAGAGCATGAAAAAAAGATTTTTTTTTTCAAATCGTGAAAAAATGGCGAAACTTTTCGATGTGTATATTAACTCATGCATTAATAAGTTTAACTACAAATTGGGCGATGAATTTATAATTCTCATTCATTATTTTTAATTAAATGTATGAAATTGGATGCTTGCTAGTGTCTTCATCGTAAGTAAATAGTGTCATTTGCCGAGTCAGAAGCCAATCAGGTGTGTAACGCACGCGTGACGTCCCATACTGGTCTCCAATAGAATCTGATTTAAATAACCTAGTTTGGCATAATCGCTTCACTTCTCTTCGATTTGCAAAAATCTAAATCTTTTAATCGTTTGGTTGTTTATTTTAATTCCAAAAAATATTTTTATGTCTTTCATTTAAAACATGTTGAGTGTTGATGAAGGCAATGTATGAGGATTTTTTTCTCAAGACTATTAAATATTTTAACATTTTAAAACTTTTTGTTCTTAAATTTATTTCTATATTGATTAGAAAGGAATTCGAGTAATATTACCGTACTGTATGGCAATGACATTTCTGGTAAAAAAAAGACGTAATTTAAGTAATAAAAACCAAAATGTACGGTATTTAAACCATTAATTTGGTAATTTTTCCTTTCATATGGTAAAGGTTTACGAAATTCTTGTTTTCAAAATTATAGTTTTTATTAATTCACATTTAGTAAAAAATAAAGAAATTTAAAAGTAAATTTAACCAAGTAAATCGTTTTTATACCATGTTATAAGGTATCAAGATAAAATTTTCAAATTTTACCACATTTACCAATTTATTAAGCCATATTTTTGTAATTTTTACTAAAATGATTACCAAAGTAATTCGGTATAAATTAGCGAGCTTTTTGGTGTTCCCATATGCGGATAATTTTATCTAATTCTGGTAGTTTTGACTATACTCTTTTTCTCTGCGTTGAATAAATGTTTACAAGTTTGAGATGCATCATTATTTCCTTTGAACTAATTGAAAAATAACTAGTTATTCTGAACAATTGTTAAGCAATTTCTTAACGATAAATTGTTAAAATAGTTTTTTCCAGGCTGTATAAAGTAAAATTCATCATAGAAAATAAACTAAAAAGGAAGTAAAGAGAAGTAAACAAACTATAACAGAGATGTTAATTCATTAATTATAGAGGGTAAACTCTTTAAATCTACATCATGAATTAATCATTTCCGTTTAGTTTTGCTTAAAGTCGGTATAATTAATAGGGCGGAAAAAAAACTTTAAAATTATGCATTATGATGATGACGCCACTGTAAACAATACCACTTAAGGTTTATTCGTTCACTTTGTTTTGTATAACTAAGTCTATATTAAGCAGACGATACTCATATTTTCAATGGAGACATACAGTTCAAATAATGCTACTCCTACTTTGAAAATGCAATATATCAGAATTATAATCAGATGAGTTTAATTAAGCGCGAAATAAAATATTCAAACAATTTGAAATTAATTTCTATTTATTCTTAAAATGAATATTTTCAGAATCTTTAATAACACATACATTATATAGATAAAAACACAATAGCTTTACGTGTATTTAACCGGAAATTATGAATTTTATTTCAAATTCAAAATGACTTATTCTATAAATTATATAAAAAATTATATTATTCAGATGGCCAGTTTTTCATTTTAAGTATTTTCAGTCTAACTTAAACTGATCGAAGAATTTGTAACCTGGGAAGTAAACGTACAATTATTTAAAGCTTAAGACATATCTTTTTCCTGTTTTATTAATTTTAAAAAAATAAAACTTCAGCAGAGGTGAAACATTTATATCCATAATTGAGATTTCTGAGAGTTTTGAAATTTTAGTTTGATAAACATAATTTTATTTTAAATACAAGTAAAATATCATTGGGCAAGTGTGAAAAAAATTTAAAAAAAGCATTTATTTTCTTAATTGCATTTTTACATAAAAAGTATTTAGTGCTTTTTTTTAAAAATAAAAAGTTAAAGATCAAATAAAAAATTTAAGCAGTAAAAAGTTATTGAGTAAGATAACACTTTTTGAATTGAGGCGAAACAAATGTAATAATTTTTAATTAAGTATGTTTTAAAACTATGGGCATAATGATTTCTCTAATTTCTAAACCGATATAATTGGTAGTCCATTAATAGCATGTGCAGTGTACGAAATAAGAAACGGACCATCTCGAATAACTTTTGATCAAATGATTGGATCTTCACGTTCTGGAATTCACTCTTACAGGTTTGAGCGGAGTGGCCTCAAATATGTTAATTAACTAGTTTAGACAATGTTTTAAGTTACGAAATGAGACACAAAAAATTTCTCTGAATAAATATCCTTTTTTCTCGAGGGATTCGGATTTCTGACTCCAAAAATATAGGGGGTAGCCGCAATCTGGGTAATATGATAACAATATTTTGGTCAGGAGACCGGTCTAAAGTTTGCACCCCTTAATGTTAATTTTTCTTTTTCTCCTTTTAATTTCAATTTACCATACCTCCAAAAAATTTTAAGCAAAGTAGAAAAATCTTTTCACACAATTATAAAATTCGTTTCTCCGTAGAAAATTCCATGCAAAATATAACTTTTATTGAATATTTATTATTTTTAATTATTTAATTTAATGTAAGTCAAAATATATTTTAAATTATATGATATATAACTTTTTACATCATTTTTAAGAATGCAACTCATCATTTTTAACTCTGACAAAATGCAAAATTTTAGTGTCGATTAGTTTTTGAAAAATCAAATTTTGAAAAATTTGTATTTTTGAAATTCGATTTTTCAGGAACTGTTTGACAGACTTGGATCAAGTTTTGGATTTTACCATGTAAAATTAGTTCTTTAAAACCATGTAAAAATTATATATATCTTTTAATATATCTACACGACACGGAGATGTATTTAATTAAATTCACAATAATTAACATTCAAACTTATGCGGAGAACTCAACTTTAATGCGCCATTTTGCTTATAAACGATCATGTCATGGTCATGGCTCTAATGTCATGGGTCATATGTGTGTTCTTCTTCTGTCTGTGTTCTTCTTCTGTCTGTGATCTTCTTCTTCAAGTGCTAGTATCAAAGTTGGAAAAACCGCTGATATTGTATTGTATTATTTCAGGGTCCAATTATGCCAGCTATGTCTCTTTTAATGGCTCGATGGTTTCCTAAATGTGAGAGAGGTTTTCTCTCCGCATTTATTTACTGTGGTTTTCCTATCGGAGCTTTCATCTGTTCCATACTGTCAGGCCCAATATGCGAAATAGAGTTTGACAATGGTTGGCCATTTATCTTTTATATTTTTGGTGAGCAAAAACATTATCTTAACTTCCAATAATCAAATTAATGTCACTATTCTGTGTGAATGCAACAAGTTAATCCTGTAACACCTGAAATTTATTCTAACCTGTGCAATACACGAAAAAGTATTTAAAAATATAAAAAATTCTAGTCATAAAAGAAAATGTTTTTTGTATAATATAAATCTATAAGACTGAACTGCGAGGACAAAGTAGTTAAAGCACTAAAATGTAAATGCGAATTACTGGGGTTCTATTCTCGGAGCGGCTTGAAGTCTATCCTGCTTCAGTTCGATAGGCTACCTTAGCTTATCTGGGAAGCTAAGGTAGCCTGTGGGTAATACAGACCTCAATGCTATCTTCATGCCATTCAGCACAAAATTGTGTTGCCTTTTAACTTTTATGATCCTCCTGGCCATCCAAGAGCTGTAACGGGAATATTTTACGTTATTACATATAGAAAAGAGAAATTAGGTTAAAAGCAAAAAAATTTTTTTTTATAACCGGTGTTTGACAAATGACTGACTTCTGAATTAAGGTAGCTTTGTAATTTTGAATCCTACCCAGAAGACAAGAAAACTCCTTGATCAAACATTAAAACAAAATAGCATGTGTGGAGGAATTTTGATGAAACTAACCAGTATTGGTGTTACATGGAGAGGAAAACTACAAAAATCTCCCACGGTTAGGCCAATGGAAAGGGGATTCTAATCCCCTTTCCATGATTCATCAACCACTGAGGTTATTTTACATCAGCAATGAGCTCTGTGGAAGCCGAAGCAGAATTCGTACCAGACAGCCACCTCTGGGTTTCAAACCTCGGTCACCTCTTCGGGTCGCGATTGATCTATTCCCTGAGCTACCGTGGCTCATTTTTCTAAAACAGCTTTTTTGAAATTCCAATAAAAGGGTTGAATGGTATCAGTGCAAGAAGTACTATCCTTTATATCTCAAAAGTGAATCGAATTAATCATCTACTCACGGTTTAATTGTTTGAATCACACAACATACGTTAAGCTGCACAAGGAATGAGAATTCTCGTGTTAAAAATGAAAAACTCATTTTTATTGGATATTAATGGTAAACTGGTACAATTAGAATGTGTTACTCATATGCTACTCACTGTGAAAATTACTTTACCGGATCAAATTACAGTAAAAGTACCGGAACTCGGGGGGCCTGTACTTTTTATTATAATTTTTTTTCGAAACATGTTACGAAATAAAAAATGTGATATGCCGTAATTTTTGTAGTAATACTTACAGTTAAATCTCCGAATCACTCTATTTAAATAAATATTGCTTTTAAAATTACGGTATAACATTTTACTGCAAAAATGGATTTTACGGTAAAATTTATTTTACTTATGATGTAGCCAAAGTACCTATATTTTATACCAGAATTTTTTACTATCCCTATCGTTATTAAGAACATTTCGTGGTTCTTTTCTATTAAATAGGTACTCCTTATTAACCTTATGGTCACTTTGGAAATCACTGCCCTAAATATTAAATAGAGCAATTCAGTTTCTGTTTTGAAGTACTCTATAAAATTACTATATATATGTCAATTTCTTACTTAGGGCTCTTAGGTGTTTTAGTATCACTGCTTGTAGCAATATATTATGTAGAAACTCCTTCTCAAGATACAAAAATATCAGAGAAAGAACTGCAATATATAACAGAAAGTTGCACTAATTCATCAGAAACAGTAAGTATAAAAGTTGATGTTTAATGTCTTCTCGTAACGCCACCCTCAGCTACAATCTTTAAAAGTCTCGGTGAAAGTGAATTAAAAGAGAGTGAATTAATATTAAATTAAAGAACCTATAGAACGATAATAATAACGAATCCCTTAATTAAAATTAGACTAATTAAATCATACGACGGATTTATAAATTTATTCTAAACAGCTTATAATTTTATTTCCATTTTCTGTACTTGGCATTAATTCACCACGTTCCATTTTGCGCGAGTTACTGTGATGTACGCTTGCAAAGGCTTACTCTGTTTAAACATAATTTTAAAAATAAACTGGATGCCTGAAAACGCAATGAAAAACTTTTAGGCAAGGCTCGTACTAATGATAGAAAATTACTTAACTGGAAACATCATCCTACGCGACTCCATATTTTGGTTTAGCTGTTCTTTCCCACTCGGACGTGGTTGGCAGATTCCATGGTTCCCAAGATACATACATATGTACAAACAAACTTAGTCTTTATGATTTATTAAGCCTTAATTTCTTCATGTGGTCAGCTCTAAAAGATTTTTTATCACGATCTACTGAGTCTGCAGTGAATCTCGCAGAGACGCGTCGTCTGTGCTGTTGCTATGCTCAAGGAAACTCTTGATCTTCTATGCCCGGCAATTAATGATTCTTCAAAGTTAGGTATGCGTGATGCATGATGGTGCATTCTTCAACCAAATGTTATAACAGTGTGAACTATGTATATTCATACGCCCTCTGCACTGATGATTTACTATATATTATTCCCACTGATCCCTCTCATGTGTCCTTTCAGATCATCTACCCCTGCGGCCACTTTACCAAATGGTCATGGGTAATGGATTCCGATGCAGTTTTAAACACTAGCGTTGCGTCCTAACTGCCCAAAATGTTTGTCACTGCGCTTTTGACGCATCTGAGATATTAAAGGCTCGCAAAAGAAAACAGCGACTTTTAATATTGCAATTCTAATTTAGTAAAGATGATAAACTAAGAATATTTCTCTCGGGTCAAAATCAGTCAAGTTTCAGCAAAATACCGCAGACTAAAGAAAATAAATGTGCACAGTTCCCAACTATACTGTAAAAGAAAATGTGTACAAAATTTTTAATTTGATTAATCTTATTTAAATAAATAATAAAATATATTTGAAATTCATTAGTAGAAATTTAAAATGTCTTAATATTGAGTAACACTTGTGATTTAGAAAGAGAATTTTTTTATATTCAGTGTTATATACAGTTACACTTAGTGCATATTTAGCACTTTCATTCTCACAAATAGTACTTTTTTTCACCTTTATAGCCCCCTCCAACTCCCTGGTGTGCTATTATATCATCAATTCCAACATATTCATTAATTATTGCTTTGTTTGGACAATACTGGATGGCTTTTTACTTTTTGGCTGATCATCCTACTTATATGGGAACAATTCTTCATATACCTATCAAACAGGTAAGCAAAGCTCGTAAGTCTATGCTATATATTTTACTAATTTTTCCACACTTCTTGTTTTGAAATTTCTAAATGTATGGGACATACGGAGTAGGTATATTGTCTGGTCTGTCTATGCAAAGAACTTCCCTCGCCATTCATCTGGAGCAAAGGCGGTGATTATAGTTTCGAGGCTTAATAGAGAGAGGCTCCCCTGTTTGAAATGCGCCATTTCTTGTTCATAGCAGTGGACAGCTTCAGACTTCGTGATGAGGAGAGTTCTTTCTATAGACAAACTATTGGCTAGTCCAGTTAGGATAAACGACAACAACAATGATAACTACTCATATAATCAAAACTGTAAGGACTTACCGATTCAGTAGCTGAAAAAGATTATTGTGAAATTAATGGTATTTTCTCACTGATTATTTAACATTCAATTACTTGGTTGATTATCATCGGAAATTTACAAAATAAATAAAATAATGGAAAATCTTAAAATAATACAAAGGAAAATGCATTAGACCAGTGGTTCCTGAACTTTTTTGTCTTGTAGACCCCATGCCATGTTTTTCGGTTTTGGATAGACCCAGTTTGACTCGGTTTGGGTTACGTTTTAAACCAAATGTTTGTTAAGTATCCGAGTTGAGCTTTACCGGATAAACTCAAATTTCGAAATGATTAGTGACTTAATCACTGCATCATCGTGATATTTTTTTTCTCATAAGAAACTGAAGTAATTTTTTTAAAAAAAAGAATGAGTAAAAAATTAAAAATACTCTCTCAGATTTGAAATTAAAAAAGAACTATCTTCATGAAAAAAAAAAAAAAATACGTGAACGCTAGTTATTAAGAACATTAAGACAAAATAGCACTCCTGCAAATTTTGATATAAATTTAATATTCAAATTTAACATATTGAATTTAATTTTAGCTTTATTCATCAAATAATTAAAATTAACTTTCGTTAGATTCAAATGATTTACGTTCGATTTTTAAAAATTTCATATGTTTTTTGATATCCCCATTTAAATTAAAGAACTAAATATCTTGAAACGTTGAAATTTTCAAAAACGAAATTTTTAAACATTTCGTTTGTTTTTGAAAATTCCTCATTTAAATTGAAAAGGGTAATTGTTTCGATGTCTTAAATATTTTTACGCAACTTCAAATTTAAGATTATAATACTAAGGTAAACAATTTAAATATTTATAGAATGGTATTTTGTCGTCGTTTCCTCATCTGGCGCAATCCCTCGCTGGTTTCTTGGCCTGTTGCATGTCTTTCTGGTTGATTCAAAACGATACATCGAAAGTCAATTTAGTTAGAAAAGGATGCAATAGCATAAGTGAGTTTCGAAACATTAATGAAATATTTCAAAGATTAAATACATTATTAATTTATATTCTTCAAACTTAAAATAAATAAATAATAACATTCATTCCTCATTAGGTTGTTTCGGATTTGCTTTAGGAATGATGGGTATCTATTTTTCTGGTTGTGACAATACATGGAATGAAATATGTCTATTCATAGCTACTGCAGCCGTTGGATTTGGCTTTCCTGGAAGCTTAATTGTTTCTGTTGATATGTCCCCAACATTTTGTGGTGAGAAATTCATTTAAAGTTTCGCTGCAACAAATAAAAACAAAATCCATAAACTTAACCGATACAGCATTGTGAACGGATCTGGTCCATATAATCTAGTGCATAAAGCACTACGATGGGACATCTCTCAATCTCCATTAAAAAAGACTAAACGCCTTTCAAATGGACCTGATGGTGCTCAAATACGTTAGTTTTTTTTCTTTGGAAGGAAGAAAGATGTTTAGTTCGTTTTCTAAGATTCAATGCAACGCTGTATAGGTTAATAAAAATTATTTTATTAACATATCATTTGCTTTTTATTAAACTGGAAAGAAGTCTACTTGCCAAACGTGCCAAAAGCACTACGATCGAACATCTCTCTATCCGAAAAAAAGACTAAACGCCTTTCGAATGGACTTGATGGTGCTCAAATACGTTAGTTTTTTTTCTTTGGAAGGAAGAAAGATGTTTAGTTCGTTTTCTAAGATTCAATGCAATGCTGTATAGGTTAATAAAAATTATTTTATTAACATATCATTTGCTTCTTATTAAATTGGAAAGAAGTCTACTCGTCAAGCGTGCCAAAAGCACTACGATCGAACATCTCTCTATCCGAAAAGCCAGGCTTAGCCCTGTCCCGCCCCGTAGGGGGGCATCCAGGTAATACTGAAGACCTTATGCGCGTACGTGACCTGCATCAATAGAGAATTGGCACTTTGGCTTGGCAACGACGGAATGGCAACACTTGCGTCGACGGGGAGGCCCGCGATTCGGAGCAATATGTGATGACGGGTACAAGAGCTTTAGAAAAAGAGCAAGATTTTGAATTTTGTTAGTCTGGCTGCTGCACGCGCAGAGCAGCCACCAATCCACAATCTACCGACCCGCCCCGTCCCAGAAGGTCGCAATTTATTCATCCAAAAAATTTTATACATAATTTTACAGGTGCAACTGGTTTACACAGCAATGATATCAGGATTTCAGCAACATATTCACAGTGAAAGCTCATTTTCATACAAAACATTAAAACCCAGTGACATTCATAGCAAATTACACATAACAAACATTTTAAAACAGAAACACTACAGGTATTCTAAAATTTTATGTTGGGTGTGCAGTTTCGCAGTAAACAATACAAAAAATTTACAGTTTGTCAAATTTACAAAACTCTAGAATATTGCGATGAGAAATCGTATAACAAATCCTCCACTCCAAAATTTCAGCAATACGTACCCCGGGGGCCCGCATTCGTTTTGTCGTGGCAAAACGAATCTCTATCCGAAAAAAAGACTAAACGCCTTTCAAATGGACTTGATGGTGCTCAAATACGTTAGTTTTTTTTTCTTTGGAAGGAAGAAAGATGTTTAGTTCGTTTTCTAAGATTCAATGCAACGCTGTATCGGTTAATAAAAATTATTTTATTATTTATCATTTGCTTCTCATTAAATCGGAAAGAAGTCTACTCGCTAGAACACTGCCAGTATTCTCAAAGGAGCAAAACCAGTGCTAAATAATAAAATCAGAACAAGCTTGGAATAAGTTAAGGCACTGTTGCCACAGAATTAAGAAGCGGAACAATTCGTTGGCTATCGTTCCTTTTCTTTATCCTAACCTATTATATATTCATCATTTATGTGTTGTTGTCTTAGAATCGGTGGCATGTTCGAATGTTTGAAATACTTCGACTTCTTCCGACTTTAGTTGCGAAACAAATGAAGTCTTTATTGAGTACTATATATTTTCACCTCCGTGTCTTGGGGTCATTCGCTTCAACAAAACTAGTTGGCGATAAAAGAAATTCCGTGAGGAAAAAAAGTGAATGTATTGTTTAGTAATGAAATTTTTGGTAAAAAAATATAAAATAAAACTTAATTCGGTTTAATAAAATCAAAATTTACGGTGTCTAAATCATTTATTTGATAATTTTTCCGCTCATATGGTACAGGTTTAACCCAAATCATGGTTTTCACGATTATATTTCTTATTACCCTTCATTTTGTAAAAAATGAACACAAAATTGAAAGGTAAAACCAACCGAATTAATAGTATGTATGCCATGTTTTAAATTATCATGATAAAATTATCAAATTTTACCACATTTATAAAATTTTATCACATATTATAAAACTATATTTTATTGTTGATAATCTTTACCAAAGCACTTTGATAATAGTTACTGAGCTTTTTGGTGTTCCCATAGTGCCAGAAACAAATGTAAATTTTACTATACTATGGCAGTTTTGACTATACTTTTTTTCTCAGTGTAGATACATTAACTAGTTTCTCTAATGTTAAACCATTAAGTAATATTGAAAAATAGTAGTTTAATTGAAAGTTTTTGGTTAAAGGTGTAGTGATGGGTATAACGAGTACTTTGGGCAGTTCAGCTGGAATAGTTGTACCTGTTTTGGTTGGGGAGCTTACCAAAGAAAAGGTAATTTTTTTTATTATTTTTCTTTTTATTAATATTTTTCTAATATATTGGAGTGTTTGAATGTTTTTCAATGTTATTCTAAGTATTTGCCACTTTAAACCGTATGACGTTATAGGTAAATTTTTATCAATTATTATATTCTTGTTATTAACTCTTTTTTTCACAGAAGTGTTTCCTTTCTTAATTTAAAAAAGAGCAGTAATAGCATCTTTTTTTACAAAGAGCTATTCCTTGCTTAAAAAAATAATTTTTATTTAAAAAATCTGTTATTTTTTTTCTTTTTTGCTTAATACAACAGGGTGTACTGGGGAATATGTTAAAAAATATGCTCTGATTAGAACTATTCAGAGCTTTTTTGCTTAGAACAAAGCTTAATAAAGTATGTAATTCTAATGCCGTTGTATGGAGGAACGTTTTGGCTGTATATGCAATTTTCTTATGTATATAAGCTAAATGATAAACTCAGACTTTTGAGTTTCCAATTAAAAGAATGCATAAGCAATAAAAAATATTGCTCAGATTTTCACTTAAGATGTAACTTTCATGGTCTGAGAAACTCGCTTAGTTCTTCAAATCTAAATTTTTAAGCAAGGAGGAAGAAGCTTATTTGAACAGGAGTACTATACACCGAAGAGCCATTACATTATGACCACCCTGCTAATAACATATAGAACCACCTTTAGTCCTCGAAACTGCTAGCACCCGCCGTGTCATTGATTCCACAAGGTGCTGATAGGTAGTCTGAGGTATCTGGTACCAAGAGCTCACCAACTGGTCCAACAATTCCCTCTCATTGTGAGGGGGTAGCGTGGCAGTACGAATTTGGTTTTCCAAGTAGGACCACAAATGCTCTATTGGATTAAGGTCAGGTGAGTTTGGGGGCCAGGACGTGACTTGAAAGTCACTGGAATGTTCCTCGAACCAATCCATGACGATTCGACCCTTAGGACATGGTGCATTATCCTGTTGGTGAACACCATCTCCCGCATGAAAAACTGTTGCCATGAATGGGTGAACATGGTTTGCAACTATGTTCAAGTAGCTTACAGACGTCAGGGATTGTTCTATGAGGATTATGGGTCCTAATGTGGCCCATGAAAACATTGTTCCTGGGCGACAAACCATGAAAACTTGGGCGAGCCCATTATTATAGATGGAGGGTGGCCATAATGTAATGGCTCCTCGGTGTATATCAGAATCTCTCTATGTTACCAGAAACTCTTGTTTATTATTGAAACATATTCAAAACTGTATAATCACGTTTAGCATAAGTTTTTAAATTAATTAAAAAAAAATATGTGATGATTTGTTTTAAATTTGAAATTAAAACTTAGCTCAGTTTTAAATGAAAAAAAGAAGGAAAAATATTTCATTTTCGAACAACTAAAAAAAAAAAAAAATATTTGACGCAATTTATTCTTTTTTTTTCAATTTCTCTTAAAATTTTAATTATATAATACACAATTCTATTCAAAGACTGTATTTTGGTGTCTTGACTGTATTAAGAATATAATTGAACTTATTGGGGGAAGGAATAGTTCATTAAAAAAAAAGAAAAATTGCTGCGTTTTAAAATTAGATCAGATATATTAAGAAATTTATCCATCCACAGGAGGCGAGATGGAATCGTATTTGACGTCATAATTAGGTTTTTAAATATTCAACATTTTATATTTATTTTCTTCGATATGACTTGCATTATCTGTTTGAGTCATGGTGGCTCAGGGAATAGAGCTTCCATACGCTCACCTCCCCATGAGGAGACCCGGGTTCAATCCCAGTGACAGCTGGTCGATTCGAATTCCGCACCCGGCTCGCACAGTGCTGACGTAAAATATCCTTCGTTGTAAACGAAATCATGGGTTGGAGTCCCCTTGCCGACAGGCTAACAATGGAAGTTTTTTGTGGTTTTCCTCTCCATGTAACACAAATGCGGGTTAGTTGCATCAAAAAGTCCTCCACGAAGGCAAATTTCTCCCACTACTAGATCCAGGAGTTCCCTTGTCTTCTGTATTGGATTCAAAATTACAGGGCTACGGAGTTGAACATTAGTAGACGAAAGCCCTAAATTGGGACGGCTGTTCAACGACGGTTAAAAAATTATAAAAAAAAGTGTCCGTTTGAAAAAGTTGTAAACCGATTTCTTTCCGCTATTACAGCGCCATCAGTGAATTAGTTTGTCAAGTCAGGATTTCATACATTTTTTAACGCAGTCTAATCAAATCAATCATTCAAAAACCCGCTTGTCATATCACTGTACATTTTTATGGATAATCCAAGTGTGCAATTGAATCTGGGTGCCTCCATTTAAAATTTTGAAGTTTCTCCCACCCGTCTTGGTTAGGTAGAGGGTCGAGTTTTGAATCATTAAAGGTCATTTTTTAAATTATTTCCCGCTTGTGATTTTTTCCATTTCTGATCGAATTCGTATTTTTAGTATTATTCCTATTATTTTCTGGCACGCTGCATATGTCCGTATCAAATTTTACTTCTGATGCACATGCTTACTTCTAACTTTTTACTGCATTAATTATTATCGTTGTAATCTTTTAGCAAATCCTCGCACAGTGGGACAAAATGTTCATTATCACAGCTGCTATTGCGGCAGTCAGCGGAATTGTCTTCCATGTCTTTGGCTCCACAGATACACAGCCTTATGACCCAAGCTTCTCAAAAGATGTTAATAGTGAGAAAGTATCGAAGCAAGATGACTGCAATAAAAACCAGAACTCTACCAAGCTTTGATAAATGGGATCAGAGAATTGCCATAACGAATCATTTGATCATAGAATTCGAGTATTTGATCTAAACATATCCATTAATCAAGTTGTGATACATCTAGAATAAAAATTTATTTTAAAAAAAAAGAATGTTTTGGGTTTTTTTGTGGCATATGCTTATTTTCGTTTAATTTCAAGACAAATTCGTGTACCCGGACATCCCAGTTTCATCAATAGGGTTTCAAATTTTATATTTTCCTTCAATTAGAGTACACTGATTCAGATTATGTTTTTTAAGAAAGTACATGGCTAAAATATTTCTGATTTAATTAGAGTACATCGTTGAAATGACTCTAACTCAAGAAAAAGTATACAGCTACAAAAACTAGTGCGCAAAAAAGAAACAATCTAAATAACTTTTGATATAATGATCGGATCTTCACGTTCTAGAACTCAATCTTTATGGTTCGAGGGGGTGACCTCAAATATGCTAATTAATTAAAGCAGACATTATTTTAAAATACGAAATCAGACATAGAAACGTACTTCCTCTTAATAAACAAACCTTTTTTTCCCTATGAATTCGGATTTCTGACCTCCAAAATATAAGGGGCAGCCGCAATCTGGGAAATATGGTTCCAATAGTTTGGTCAGGTGAGCGTTGCAAATTTTGGAACCGTTAATATTATTTTTACTTTTTGCGTATTTCCCCGTATCTCGAGAACTTTTTAAGCAAATTGTAATATATTTGCACACAATTTAAAAATTCTTTTATCCAAAGATATTTCCATGAAAAATATAAATTTAGCAATTATTTATTATTTTCTTATCATTTTATTTAATAAAATAGCCACAAAAAAAAACTTTTGAATTGTAAGATAGACAACTTTTTACATAATTTTAAAAAATGCAATTTTAAAGGAAATAATTCAAAATTTGTGCAAAATCGGTCAAATTGTTCCTGTGAAAATACAACTTTAAAATATAGATTTTTCAAAATTTCGAATTTTCAAGAACTATTCGACCGAAATCGCAGTATATTTCGCTGTTTAAAATTGATGCTCTTTAAAACGATGTAAAAAATTGCTTGCTTTGCAATTAAAATTTTTTAACTATTATTAAATAAATTAATAAGAAATTTTTTTTACTAAAAATTATAATTTACATGAAATTATTTTTGAATAAACGAATTTTATAACTCTGTCCAAAAATTTTATAATTCTCTCATAAAATTCTCGAGATATGGAGAAATATGCTAAAAGTAGAATTAACATTAATGGGTCCAAACTTTTGACTGCTCTCCTGACTAAACTTTTGGAACCATATTTCCCTAATTACGGCTGCATCCTGTGTTTTGAAGGTTAGAAATCTGGATCTATCGAGAAAGCGGTATGTTTATTCAGAGGAAGTATGTTTTTTTGTCTGATTTCGTATTTCAGAATACCGTTTACATTTGTTAGCTATCATATTTGAGGTATAATCTCTTTGAACTATTAAGATTGAGTCCTAGAACTTAAAGATACGATCATTAGATCAAAAGTTATTCAGGGGGGCCTTTTTTTATGTTGCGCACTTTAAAATAATAAAATGACTCTGACTTAATAAGAGTACACTGCCAATATTTTGGAGAGCGTTGAATCTTAATAATATTTAAACTTCTGGCAGCTTTACTGTACCAAATCTGATCACATTATACTAGTGCTCCTTTTACTTATACACGGAAATATTTTTCAGTTATGTTCCACTTAATTAAGGTCGCTTTCTTAAGGTCACATTATTAAGATCGCAGCACCTTTTACGCGATATTAGGAATTAAGGTATCAATATTATGTTTTAGTGTTCAACCATTTTTATTGCATTGTTACCTTTTTTTTTTAAAAAAATGGCAATTCTGATTTCATCGCTTTCTTATATTTAAAATTATTTAGAGTAGGATAAATGATTACAAATCTAAAACAACATCGAAAAAAATCCAAATTATTTATTATATCTTTATATAAATATGAATGATAGAGAGGTTAAATGCTTTTTATCGTTATTCAATGGTATGAATTACAAACAACGAGCTTTGCTTACTTCAATAACATAAAGCCACCAAAGATCACAACATATAACATTAAATTAAAAAATTGAAATTATTTTAGCTACATTAATTGAAAAAATTAGTGGAAGAAACAGGTTAGTGACATTTTCAGAACAAAAAAAAAATGTTCCATCTGAACTATTTTATTACCAATTTATTAGAAAGTGGGACAAATATTTCGTTCTTTTCATTTATTTACCACGACCTAATTTCATGCAAGCATACTGAAAACTGAAGTAATTAGTTATGTTAAAATTTAAGTGAAAGCAAAAACAGTTCAGATGCATTAAACATGCCCGTATTTATTTTGCCACTTTTTTTTAATCTCATTAATTCAGATTCATTAATTCCCCTAAAAATATCACTTCCAAATTCTTTAACTGTGTCGGTACATGATTTTCAGTTTGATTTCATGATTTAGTAGTGTTTTTCAATACTGATTTATTGATTTTCTTTATTTATTTTTAAATATTCACGTGCGAAGAACGGGTATTCAACTAGTATTAAAATGAAAATATTGCAATAAACAATATATGAAATAAAAAATAAAATTAAGTTCATTGTCATACATAATGAAACATGCGTTGATTGTCAAGGTATATCTTTCATTGTATAAAGAAGTGAAAAAGAATAAATTGTGGATTCTTTATCCTACACTAACTTATCAAATGCCAAAAAATAGAGTTTGTTTGGTTAACTGAAAGACACGAATTCATTTATGGAATAATTTTTGATTACTCGTATCAACTATATCATCTCTTGGCGAGCTCTTCGATGCGAAGAATGACATTTATTAATAGAAAACGCTTACCTTGAAGGATACAAATATTTATTTTTTACTCTGATCTGAATTAAATATGCCACATCATTTTTGTGAGGAGCGGTCTCTTCAGCTACTTACGGGGAAAATATTATTACTATGCGTTAAGTGGTTTCGTGAGTAATTTCAAATGATAATGGTGACAGTTTATTATTTTTTATTTATTTTTAAATATTCCCGTGCGAAAAACGAGTATTCACCTAGTATATTATAAAAATGTATTCAAATTCAATTCTGTTCATTTCTATGATAAATTAAAATCGAGAAAAGTTTTATGTGGAAATTTAGTACCAGACTGGTGACGTTGTAATTAAAAAAAAAACGATAAATGTTTCTGAAAAGCTTTTTACCTTGGATTTTATGATATGAAATTATGTTTATGTAAAGCACGCAATGCAACAAGTTAGCAATACTATCTGATGAACTACGTTAGATCTATGACTGATATATTTGTTAAAATATGGACTATTTTTTACGCTGCCTTTATTTTAATTCATTGCTATAGTTTATCATCACTAAAAACTTTTGAAACAATTTTTGCGGATTTATAATCAAACTTCAAATTTGTTTACCTTATTTTATTTTATTGATCATGATGTTTTTCAATTGGACAAAAAGTGCATAAATAGAAAATGATTAAAATGGAAAACAAAATCGAACATTTATCAAGTAAGTCACATGTTTACTTTATATTGACATTAATATTTAATGTTAATAATTTTTAATGTTAATAATGTTAATAATAATTTTATGTTAATAAAAACATAGTTCTCGAAAATTAAATACCATTAATTATTAATATTATTATCTTCGCTTTGTGTTTGGATATATAGAATTTAAAAAAATTGTTTTTGCGATGCTTTATGTCTTTACATACCATAAAAAGAAACTGTTCAAAAATCCTTTCATTGTAGTGGGTACAATCTTATGTAACAGAAAAATCACTTGATGGGATCCTTAATTTAAAAAAAAAAGTAGTGCGGGGAGTCCCTCCGCGCGGAAGAAGTTAAACTTCGCAACCTGCGACGTTAATTGTAGAAGAATCAGCAGTCATAGCATAGTCGTGCTCAGTAATCACGGTAATATTGTGCATTTTTCCCTCGTGGACCTCTTGAACCAGTGGAAGTGCTTGTGGTTGCCTCATCGTCTCGCTCTGGAAAATGTATTTGTATTAATAATGTATGTGAATGCGTCATAATGTAATTTCAGAAGAGAAAACCTAACAATCAATTGATATTCACAAGAGACGTACCTTGACATAACCTTAACTCCGTCGCATTGTCGGTGGTATTGTTTTCACTCATTTTTTACAATTGTTATTCACTAAATTTGAAAATAAAAAATACTACCCAATTAAATTATATTGAGTATTGAGTATAGTAAAGTGCGGCGTGCTCTCTGCTTTCGCTTATAGCACTGCGTTTCAATAGTAAGGCTTAATTTAACTAATAAGATTTATTTGAGCCCTGAGGCTCTTCATCAAATTCCTGACTAATTTTGATTCAAAAGTTTTTTTAAATTATATGTGTATCAAAACAAACTAAAAAAATATTTATCGAAAAACAATTCACGATCGCAACGCTCGAGTACGATCTCTAGCGGGAGCCTGTAAATATCGGACATTAATTTATCACGTTTTCATTTAGTTCCATCAAAATCATTGACCATGACGGACGCCATTTTCTTAGCAGCAAATAAAAATCAAAATTTCCCTAAGGAAAAGCTGAAGAACTTGAAAAAACTAACCAGAACATGCCAAACATTGAAGCAGAACACGCAAAGCATTTGAAGAACAATTTCTCCATAATTTTTACCTTTCTATTACCAACAATATAGCTTACAATTTCATGATCACTTGCTGTTACAGATGTGTATATTACGGTAAAATAATTTTCTCTGTCTTCAATTCATTACAAATTAAAATGAAGTCAACATTGCTTTCGTCATTCCAATAAATAAATGTGAATTCAGAACGTCAAGAACTGCAATAGTTATAGAATATTCTTCTTTGTAATAGAACAGTATATATTTCTGTATCTATATAATTCGGAAAACAACAATAAAGAATCAACCAAATTACTTAAAATAGTGCATTTGTGCTGATGATTAATAAATTTTTTATCGTTTTCTTGGTAAGTATTTTTTAGTTTTGAAAGAAAAGATAATTTCAACTAGAATTCAGCTGTTCTGTTTGTAAGCTACATATTCAAATTCATATCGAGATCTTACAATTATAAAATTTTGATGTGTGGTATGTTATCTAAAAGTAATAAGGGGATAATCTATGTACATATTATTTGAAAATAAAACGAATTGAATCAAGCGAAGAACATTTCATTTGGAACTCTGCTGATTTATAAAGAAGGTAAGTGTTATGATTTTTATAATAAAAAATTATCTTGTAAATTTTTGTTTCTTATTTGATGATAGTTTTCTACAGAATGGTTTTTTACGTCTGATTAAGAACTAGTAGAATAATAAGAAAAGAAACAATATGAAAGTTTTTATTTCAATGTAATGAATTCTTAAAATCGTTTTTTATCCTAAGAATTCTTTGTTTTCCGTTTTATAGTTTATAATTTTTTGATAAAAATTTTTGTCAAAATACTTTTTTTGAAAACATAAAGGGTATAACATTATGTGTTTATGTATACTTCTTGCATATTCTAATGTTTCAAGTAATATGATTCAGAAAAGTATGAATAAAAATTCGGTACTTATGTATTAACGCCACAGCAGCTACAGATTATGAAGACAGTCA